ACTCGTCCTGATTTAGCTCATGCTGTTAGTCAAGTTTGTAAGTACATGTCTAAACCTGGTAAGCAACATTGGGAAGCAGTCAAGTGGATCTTTCGGTACTTAAAGGGTACTGTGGGACATGGAATTGTTTTGGGAGTCAGCGGGATAATCCTTTGGTTGTAGGATATGTGGATTCAGACTATGCATGTGACTTGGATAATAGAAGATCTACGACAGGGTATGTCTTTACTCTTGGTGGAGGGCATATTTGTTGGAAGTCTACTGTTCAATCTATTGTGGCTCTATCTACAACTGAAGCTGAGTACATGGCAGCGGCTGAAGCTGAAAAAGAAGCTTTATGGCTTACTGGTTTAGTGAAGGAGTTGGGTGTTCAACAAGGTGGAGTTCAGTTGCTTTGTGATAATCAAAGTGCTATTCACTTGGCTAAGAATCAGGTGTATCGTGCTAGAACTAAACATATTGATGTAAGGTTCCACAAGATCAGAGAGTTGGTTGCATCTGGAGAGGTTTTGTTTCAGAAGGTATATACTGATGAAAATGCCGCTGATATGTTCACTAAGCCAGTTTACGACAGACAAGTTCAAGCATTGCTTGGACTTGTTGAATGTTTCGAGTTGTTAAAGAATCAAGGTAACCCAACCCACATTGAAATTTCCAAGAGGCAGGATATTCGCCAAGGTGGAGATTTGTTAGGTATGGCTCATAAATATACCAGTAAAGAGGACAGGAGATGGAGCGAAGCGAACATCAACTTTCCTTACAAAGAAAGTCTCGTTGTGGGGTTACAAATTATGTGGGTTGGGGGTGCGGGGGCGTAGCCCCCGCGGTACGGTACAGGGTTAATTTTGTAATTATGTATCAGGGTTTTCTATTATAAATAGAGATGTAACCTAGACCTAAAATATCATTGAATAAAAACTTCTAGCGCCGCCTAGGCACCGAGGACGTAAGCACATTGCCGAACCTCGTAAAATTCTCGTGTTCTTTTGTTTTCTTTACCCGTTTTCGTCAACAAATACCAAATACAAGTAAGTGACCTATGGACATATGCCCACTAAAGTACTCAGATATTGTACCTTAGAAGCAGATGCTAGAATCACTAAAGTACTCAGATATTGTACCTTAGAAACAGATGCTAGAATCCTGATGATGTTGCTCTTCAAACTACTCAAATTCAATAACATGCGAACGAAAATGTCTAAACGTTGAGCTTAACAAGCTCAATAGTATATCACTAATAGAATGTAAATAACATGAATCTCATAAATATAATCATGTTAGCATGATATGCAATGAGCAGTGACTATATGCATATTTCACAATCCAAGGCATGGCATGATTAAAAAATTTTGAGAAAATTTAATTCGATAGAGTGGTGAGAGGACGATGGGTTGAGTTTTTTAGTGTTTAGGTGGTTGTTGAAAATATAAGAGAATGATGATCTTCAGGCGTGTTAGGAAGTGTGTATAACAAAGAATATACACAGTAAAAAATTGCATTGCCTTCATATTAGCTTGTACACTGCTTTTATAACAATGGTTTAGCTAACCACTAACCACCTAGCAAATTAACTGACTTAGCTAACCAACCTAACAGATTAACCACCTTTACATGCACGTGCTATATTGGCAGCAGTCTAACATTCCCCCTGCTCTTCCTTTTCTCCTCTTTGAAAACAATCTAACATTCCCTCTATTTTTCCTTCTTGATGAAAAAAAATGAACACTTGAATCGGAAGTGTAAATGCTTCCTTCCGTTCGATTTGAATCGGAAGTGCCGATGCTTCCTTCCGTTCGATTTGAATCGGAAGTGTCGATGCTTCCTTCCGTTCAACTTGAATCGGAAGTGCCGATGCTTCCTTCTGTTCGATTTGAATCGGAAGTGTCGATGCTTCCCTCCGTTCGACTTGAATCGGAAGTGTCAGTGCTTCCTTTCGTTCACTTTAAATCGGAAGTGCCGATGCTTCCTTCCGTTTTATTTGAATCAGAAGTGCCGATGCTTCCTTCCGTTCGATTTGAATCAGAAGTGTCGATGCTTCCCTCCGTTCGACTTGAATCGGTGAATGAACATTCAACAAAAAAAAATCTAAAAAAAACTATTCTATAACAATAATGTTTCGCAGCTTAACTACTAACAGTTCTTCATCCTCCTTGCACGTAAACCTTTTGCTTCATATTCGCAGCTCCACTGATCTGTTGAGAAGCATTTGCAGTTACGGCCCGAGTTAGTCCCCGAGTTTTACCACGATGGGTCGCTGCTCCAACTTCACTCATCATGTTCAGATATCCATTGAACCTAACGGATATGCTCTTGGGCAACATAACCCTCTCAAAATTCACTTCATCTTCCACGTCATAAACTTCTTCCTTACCTACACTATCACCACCGAGACAAAGTCCTCCCAAAGCGTTCACCAACTCAAACGGCGTGGTGTTGTAATCAGAGGATGCAAAGTAGTTTTGGACTAAGGCTTGGATATGTGCGCTAAGTTGCTTGTTGAGGTCGCGATTGACTGATTTCAGAGAAGTATTCTCTTGGCGAAGTGAGTCAGCTTCTTTTGCAGCTTCGCGGAAGCGAGCAAGGCAAAGGCTGTGTCGGTTAATCATATCTTGATGCTATTGCATGGGAGATGGGGACCATATAGAGCAAAAAGAGAGGCGGCAGCGGCGGTTTCAGCCATGAAGTTGTAGAAATTAATGGAACAAACGGGAAATTGTAGAATCCATGGCAACTGACCCATTGTGCACCATGAGTGAAGAACCAGAGAGAAAGAAAGTTTAGAAGCGTGAAACCAAAATTCCCAGGACTTTGGCGAAAGATACCATGTTAGGAAGTGTGTATAACAGAGAATATACAAAATAAAGAATTGCATTGCCTTCATATTAGCTGGTACACTGCTTTTATAACAATGGTTTAGCTAACCACTAACCACCTAGCAAACTAACTGACTTAGCTAATCAACCTAACAGATTAACCACCTTTACATGCACGTGCTATATTGACAGCAGTCTAACAATGAAATAGCTGAAATGGAAAGAAAAAATCGAAGCTTGATGAAGAAGATGATGGGGTGAGGAAAAAGTGGGAAAAATTGCCACGACAGTTAAAATTGAATAAAAATATTTTATTCATGCATGCATGCATGAATCCACGAAAAGTTCAAGATATGCATGCACGCATTCTCATGTATAATTAATAATCATTAACTAGAAAAAATAGGACCAGATGAATACATTTTTCCAGGCTTTCCAGCTAAGAGATGGAGACTTCATTAATGCTAAAGAAGGCTTGTTGAAGATGAAGTCCATTCGAGGAAGAGATGGTGATGGCTCTGCCTCATCTTCTTGCATTTACATACTGTCTATGTTATACATCTTATTTTCTTCTATGCTGGTGATCATTGCTTGGAATCCACGAAAGGCCTCTTATATAAGAGATTTTCAAGATCCTGGATTCCCTAAAAAGAAAGTTGGCAGCCTCATTTTTCTTCCCTTTTTCTTAATTTAGTGTATAAATTCTTTACGTTCGTCATGAATTTTATTTGTATCAAAAGATACTTGAATTGGAGAGGGTGTAATGTTGAATTGGAGGGGTGGTACATCATGTGTCAGCATATGTGTTTGTTTTCTGAAAAAGTGCATTCAAACATGTTTTTTTTTCTGACAAAAACAGCAGAGAGGATGATGCTAACGCAGTGGTCGCCCGCTAGGGCCGCCACGATGAATTTACAGTATATGATATGATGAGTCAGACCACATATATGCAAACCGACAGGTCCTACCATGTGAAACCCATACCTCACATAATCTCAAACCTATCATTTTTATCCTTTTCATCACCTTTTATTCTATACGTGTGGTCTCAGACATTTTTAAAATTATGAACAAAAATCTAAAATTAGATTTTTATATAGTTTTTAGACAAGTAATTTTAAAAATTAAATTTTCTTCTCAATGCTTTGATAGATTGTTCTTCTTAAAATTTATAATTCCAAAAACTTAAAATATCCAATGTTCTTTTTCTTTTCGACCAGAGAGTTGAATTGAGTATGATATAGAGTTTGATTTTAAACGATAAATAAAAAATATATAAAATATTGTATTATTTTATCATTAGATTGAGATTGGAGAATATTAAAATTAAATGATATTTTATAAACTAACGAATAGGATTTGGGAAAGCGAAATGAAGGAAAATTATGAAAATTGAAAATTGTATGAGATCGAGAAAAATTAGGGCCCTTATATGTAAAGATGGAAGGTGAGATCCTAAGCAAGAGCTCATGGTGCTCTCCTAATAACGAGCTCTGGTCTAGCATGTGACTTGGTATTAAGACGGTTCATTCCATGGTTTTATTTAATTTATAGGTAAAGTATATAAATAGTTATTAAATTTTTAAAAATTATAAAGTGATTATTAAATATTTAATTTAATTACAGAATGATTCGAAGATAAATGGAAATTCACTAATCTCAAGTATTTGAAGTGAATCTAGATTTTGAAACCAACGTGGCAGTTCCTCAAGTTGGGGCAACAGTCGATTTGAATGAACTCCAAATGGCTAGCAGATGCTTTAAGAAGCAATCGGTGCAGATCCCTCAAATTTGGTAAATTGCAAAATATGAAACTATTTTGGCTTAAGCGAAGGTTTTGGTCTTCTATCCCTTGTAAATTGCAATGATACAAATTCATTAAAGACAAAAATCTAAGAGATGAGGGGGAATAATTGCTTAGCAATATTAAAAAAAAATTAAAAATAAGATATTATTTATTAATTTAATATATAAGTCGTTTTATTTATTTATTTTTCAATTTTTATGTATTTATTAATCTAAGAGATAATGGGTGTTCATGTCAAGTCATTTTATAAGTAACAATTAATGGTACAGTGACCATTTTATAATTAAATAAAAATTTAATAATTATTTAAAAAAATAAAATTTTAGTAGCTAAAAAATAATTTTAATACGAGCACATGTTCAAAGTTTGATGAATATTATGATTTCATATTCTTGATTGATCATCATGTGAACCGCCCACCAGTTTTCTCTAAAATTCTCATCATCAGTGGTACGGACCGAGCAAACTATTATGTGTAATATTAATATAGTATATACACTATTAACTAGTCCGATATCAAGTATAATCATTGACTATGAAATGCAGCAAGCATTTGGATTTTCATCGCTGAAGAGCTGAGAAGCCGGTGGCATTCGTTCGAAAACGTAGAGGGGCTGGTAATAATATATCATTTTCTTCATAGATTCATCCTCATTGTTGCTGCCATTATTGTTGTCTTCTTCCCTGTTTTCAGCAGTAGCTTCCTTGTTGCCTTCTTTCTTAGATTCTTCTTCGGCTAATGGTTTTTCTTCTTCTTTTTTCTCTGGGCTCTCTTCTGGTTTGGGTTCTTCCGATGGCTTCTCTTCGCCTTCCTTTTTCTCTTCTTGTTTTTCGGGTTCAGATTGTGGATCAGACTCCGGTTGGGGCACGATCCGAGCCTGCTTTTTGGTGCGTGTATATACATAATCAACTAGCTCGTTTGCGTCCATGGTACCCGTCACTGTAACTTTCCCTGTGCTGTGCTCGGCTACCACACTTTGTATACCTCTCATTTTTAGTATCTTTTTGCTGAGTTGCTCAGCACAGGCTTGGCAATGCATGTCTACGATAAGTTCCAGGGTTGTTACACCAGTAACCTGGAATACTTAACCCAAACATTAAGATTATTGGTTAAGGATTGAATGAGACATTTTATCATTATTTTGTTGGTTGAAATTGTAAGTGGAGAATTCCTAGATAAGTCAGCCTTCCCCTCAATGATATGTGTCTCATATTAACCTGTCATAAAGTCATATCATGCTTAACAAGAGTTATTGTCTAAGTTCATTAGCCAATCGCATAGCAACATATCCAAATAGACAAGTTGTGCATCAGTCCACAAGCCACAATACAATTTCAAAGTCACATGTACTTTTGAAAGGGAGATCCTGCATGATATAGCGAATGTTAGAGTGCAACCTCACTCTTCAATAAGAGTACGATATAGGTCTTACAAGCTCCAAACCGTCCCTAAATATTTTTATCCTTGAGAGACATTGTATCATCTACTTGGTTCCATGCTAGCATACCTAGTCCCTACACGAGCTTAGGAAAAGATCGTTTACACTATGATAACTTCAAATGCTAACTTAAAGTAAGGGGATGGTGGAATAATTAATTAATATAATTTTAAAAATTAAATGAATATTTAAATATTTTTATAATATTATAAATATATATTTTTAGAACGATTTAATACAAATTTATAAAATTATACAAATTATTAAATTATAATTCAGTATTTCCAAAGGAAGTGAAAAATTATTCTTTAGTTTAATAATGATATAAGTGAGTATTAAGTTTAATATAATAAAAAAAATTCATGTTATAGTTGAATGACTAAGCTTTCGTCATTAATTTAAAGTATCTCATATTTGAATTTTATAACCATCAGAAAATATTTATTTTGTGTTGATACTATTATATAAGTTAAATTCAAAATATGGTGAAATTAACTCAAAGGAGTAGTTTAACTCTATGGTTAGAACCTTGGATCTCATGCAAGAGGCTTGAGTTCAATTCATGTTGAAAGTAAGAATTATTTCTTTCATGTTATCCTCATATGTGGTGACATGTGTCATCACCTAATTGATTGAATAAAATTAAGTAAAAAATATTGACGAGAAAAGTGAAAATGATGTGAAAATAAAAAAAGTTAGCATATCATATATCACATCATGTTAAATTTTTAACGGTTATATATCAAATTAAAACTTAAATTAAATGTTATGTATGATTTTGAATAAAAATAAAGTTAAAGTACTAAAATAAAATAAAAATGATAATTTAAATACTAAACGTATAATTTACTCTTTTAATATTTACTTAATAAAAATAATTTTAATTAATGATGTGTTTTGGTATATGGCATGATGTATCAATACACGAAATTTACCGTAGAATTTTTCTTATTATACTCTATAATAATGGATGATTATGACGTCTTTCTCAGACTTGCCTTCAAAGCTTGTGGAACATGATTTTCCAATTGTCTTCCACCAACTAAACGGTTAGCTTAGAAATTTGAATACGCTTGACTGTCCACCATCTTAGTGATTGTCTCATGAAAGGCAGATTAATATACGATTAATATATGATTAATATACGATGTTATCGGATATATTAAAAGATATTTGATAAATTCAGTTTAGTGCTACTGGAAATATCGAGTAATAATAATGTAATAGGTGGAAATCATGAATAAATATTAAAAAATTTGGCAACCGGTAAACTTAGCTTGTCGGTTTGTATCGATATTTTATAAAAATATATTGATCCATAACAATATAACAGGTAAAAAAATGAAAAACCGGTCTATAAATGACAAAACAGGTAAAGCGCTACCGGATATATTGAAAGTGTCGATACTTTATAAAAATGTATCGATCCATAATAATATAACAGGTAAAAAAATGATAAAACCGCTCTATAAATGACAAAACAGGTAAAGCGCTGCCGGATATATTGAAAAGTGTCGATACTTTATAAAAATATATTGATCCATAACAATATAACAGGTAAAAAAATGATAAAACCGGTCTATAAATGACAAAACAGGTAAAGCGCTACCGGATATATTGAAAGTCTCGATACTTTATAAAAATGTATCGATCCATAACAATATAACAGGTAAAAAAATGATAAAACCGGTCTATAAATGACAAAATAAGTAAAGCGCTATCGGATATGTTGATAGTGCCGATACTTTATTGTAAGTATCGACACTTTTGGAATTTAAAAGAGAAGAAGTTATAGCGCTAATAAAATGTCGATACTTTATAAAAATGTATCGATCCATAACAATATAACATGTAAAAATATGATAAAATCGGTCTCGAAATGACAAAATCGGTAAAGAGCTACCGGATATGTTGAAAGTGTCGATACTTTATTATAAGTGTCGACACCTTTGGAATTTAAAAGAAAAGAAGTTATAGTGCTAATAAAGTGTCAATACTTTATAAAAATGTATCGATCCATAACAATATAACATGTAAAAATATGACAAAATCGGTCTCGAAATGATAAAACCGGTAGTAAAAAAGTGTGCTTGTGTGGTCATTTTTATTTTAGAATTTTCATTTTTTAATACAAAAAGTTGGATATTTTAAGCAAAACCCAGCAAGAAAAGAACAAAAACTTTACAGTAACAAAAGAATAACATTGGGAAACCCACCATGTTATCAGTTTCTTAAAGAACAAAAACCCAGAAACAGATAAATTTACAATGTAACCGGTAAAAATATACTGGTTAATTAGCAAATATGTTTACATTATGTATCGACACTCTTTAAATATGTGTCGATACTTTTTTCCCAAAATGAAAGCACGAGGTGCACGCATAAAGTGTCAATACATTTAAAATTGTATTAATCTCAAAAACATCAAAACTGATAATTATAATGTAATAGCTAAATTTACAATATTACCGATTTAAATATACCTGTTTAGTTAGAAAATATGTCAATATAAGCGCTACCTATTATATTATATAAGCGCTACCTAATATATTATTGTACTTGATAATATTTCCGGTTAAATAATATAACATAACCGGTCTAAATTTTAACCGGTCACTTATCTAACAGGTCACGCCAATTTTTAGACGCCGCACAGCAAAAATTCCCACCATCTCAGGTTCAGCAGACAAACACGTAGAATTTTATATTAAAAAAATTTATTAATAAAAATATAAACAATTTTAAAATATATATAAATTTTTTAAAAAAAATATGACTACTCTCACTCACTACCTTTTGATATGTTCCTGGGCTTCGGGGCCAAACTTTTCTATTTATCAGTTAATTTTTTAACTATAAAAAGATTTAATTAATTTATTTAATTACCTTTTTTATTTTCTTCTTTCTCGTGTCATGTTTGGTTAGTGTTTAAATATTGTAACAGTAACTTAATCTAATGTATTGTACACAACAATTAATGTAATTAATTTGCTTAAAGTTTATTTCATTTCAGTTTTACCTATAATAATATATTATCAACCTTTTTAACAATGTTAGACCTAGGAATAATGTTAAGCCAGTTTTTGGGACTTGGATTTAAATCGCAAGTCTTACACAAATTAACTTTTTATTTCAATCAACTAACTAAGTGGTGACGTATGTCACCACAAAATGATGACACATTTCATTTATAGAAATCAACCATTAAAATGAAATGAACCTAATTTATTGATTAAAACGATAATGAAACTTAAGTTCGGTGATTTATTTGCTATTTTGTTTTCACCTTTTAATGATCGAAATGAGTTTTTTTTATAGTTGAATGACCAATTGAATAGTTTGCTTTAAAATAAAAGAAGGGTGACACGTGGTTTTTCTAGTTTTGCTGAGAAATAAATCATGAACGAAGAATTTGCGAATTGGGAGGAAAAAGACAAGTGTCGGTATGGATGAAACGTACCATTTGGAATCCCAAAAATGTATATAGTCTTTGCGTGTTGAGATCTTTCGTATTGGAAAAAGTTGAAATATCAGATGGAATGCCAACCGACCTTCGAACTGCAAAGCTTCATCTTCCATTTTACTATTTATTTCATTTGCCTTTATAAGTTTTCAAGCTATTGAAATGGATGGATATAAAAAACAACATATTATTCATTTATTAATAATATTAATATAGTATGATTCAAAGAAATAAGAGTACTTAACAGTATCGTGTCAATATTTTAGGTAAATTGTACTATTAGTTATCAATTTATTCTTTCTTTCTTATTTTAATCTTTGAATATGTAGTTTTTTTTATTATAAAATCGATGCTAATATTAATTTTTTTATTGGGTAAAGTACACAAATTGTCTATCGATTATAAGATACTGCTTTGACTGAGTCCCTGACTATTAAAAATTACAAAATGATTCATCGACTATAGGGAGTTGCTTTGTTGAGTCTCTCGACTATTAAAAGTTACAAAATGGTCAACTGACTATTAATTATGCACTAAACTCGTCCTTTTTCCGTTAAAAATTAATGTTCGTTTGAGCTGGACGTTAACATGCTGACTGAGAATTGATAGCCGTTTGAGATAATGAGATCATATTTTACCATATCTCAATCAGTAGGTTAACGTCCAACTTAGACTACCATTAATTTTTTAACTGAAAAGAATGGGTTTGGAACATAATGAATAGTTGGATGACCATTTTGTAACTTTTAATAGTTGAGAGACTCAAAGCAACTCATTATAGTTGGGGGCCGTTTTATAACTTTTAATAGTCAAATGACTTAATAAAAAAAATATCCTATAGTCAGGGGACTATTTGTGTACTTTACCCTTTTCTATTTTGATCATTGATGATTAGATATCGGGAAAACGACTTCAGGTACCTGAACTTTGTCAGTTGAATCATTTTATACCGTTGAACTTTTAATTTTGTCAAATATAACACTAAACTTTAATTTTACAATCAATTATATTACTCAACAGTTAAGTCAATAACGAGACAATTGACATGGCTAACGATTGTTGACATGACATGCCACACCAAAACGATGTCATTTTGGTGTGATTGTTCTGATGCCTAAAATGATGTCATTTTAGACACTGAACTTTAGGGGTGTATCGATTTTGCCACTAAACTTTTAAAAAAAAAAAATTTTAACATTGCACTTACCGGCCGTCATCGGCAGCCAAACACCACCTATCATCGGTTATATTTTGCGGTAAGGTCAGTACCAAAACGTTCATATTTCACTCCTCTTTCTTCTCCTAGGATTGGTTCTTCATGAAACTGTAACATCCTCAATACTGGGTTAGTGATTAAATTATAAAACTTTAGAATTTGGTGACTAAAGTATAATAATTGAATAGTTCAAGGACTCATATGAAAAATGTTATGTATGATCAAATTATAAAGAATGAGGAATAGAAGGACACAAGGGTCATTTGATAGCAAGATAATTTTTTGTAGTGGTTATATTAACCCACGTGGAAAATGGAGAAGGAAAATTAAGTTTCAGAGTTCTCTTCTCCTTCTTCCTTCCTTCATACGTGAGAGCCAAGCAAAAGTGAGTTTTCTTGTTAGTTAATTTATTGCTGAATTTAAGGTTGGTTTATGATCATTAGATGATAATTAAGCTTAAGGAAAGTTTAAGTTATCTTAAAATCAAAGGATGAAGGAGTTAAGAGGGATTAAAGATGGAGGGTTCTTAAATGAAATCTTGGTAGAAAGATAGTAATTAGATTTTAAGACCAAAATTGACTTGTCATCAACCTAATTTAGAAGTATGAAATGCTAGAGTTAAATTTAGAACAAGAAAATTTGGTATGATTTTTGAATTCCATATGGAGGATGAGAGTTTGAGGATCAAGATGTGTTAAATGTCTAGAATTTTGTTTGAGTATGTATCCTTGAGTTAAGGGTATTAAGGGAGCTAATTTATGAAGGATTTAAGTTGATTTAGAGTGATTTTCGGGCTTAAAAAGGAAAATCTGGGCAAGAGGTATCGGTACTGCTTCAACAGGTACTGATACCTCAAGAGTAAAAATAGTGAATGCATTCAAAGGGTATCAATACCTGGGAGGGTAGTATCGATACCTGGGAGGGTAGTATCGATACCAGGAAATATCGAATGCAATTCGGTATCGATACCCAGGTAGGTATCGATACCCCAACTAGGGGTAGTATCGATACCCTATAGTGGGTACCGATACCACTTCAAAGGGAAAATGGAAATAGACTTTTCCTTTAGTTTAAGAAATTAATAATTAGAGTATGCCATTTGGAATACTGATATGTATCAATGTATGATTATATAGATATTGAAGGTAACCATGTTCCAGAGCAATCGAAGAATTAGAAAAGGTCGAGAGAGAAATAAAGTGCTAGAATCGATTCGAATCAAGTGAGGCTAAGGTGAGTGCATACCATAGTTAGTATAGATATGGTTTTATGGAAATAAGACTTGTGATAAATCTATTTCCTATATTTAAGTTCATGGTTCCATATTCATGTAAATGCATATGTTATGATTATAATGAGTAGGTACATGAATCATACATGTTTGGATATAATATAAATATGCAATGTATGCAATTACAAAAGAATGAATTCAAGTATTTGTAATAAGCAAGTGATCATATGTGTGCATGTGAAGTGAGTAATGTGTATATGAAAAGTGATAAAAAGAGATATGAAAATGTGAAATGTATCCATACTTAAGCCCATATTATTTAATATGAGAGTTGTATGTATAATTGGCATGCCAAGAGTCGAGGGATTATAAGTGGTCCTTCGGGACATAGTGGTCATTCGAGATAAAGTGGTCCTTCGGGACAAATTTTCAGTGCCCCTAGTGGGAATTTATTCGAGCTGTGGTGACAGCATTCGTGCACAACCTCAGTGTACTCATATACATTCTGTTCTCAATAATGTACATAGACAATCAAAGATAAATTAAATTGAACTCTTATAAGAAGTTAAGCTCCATTTGTGCATGTTATGATCATATATGTGATAGTTAGTAATTAACATGCAAATTGTAATGTCATGAGTGATTGATAGTAGTGCATGTTCATGAATTTATCATTGCATGTTCTTTTATGCCTCACTAAGTCTGTGACTTAGCGTGTAAGTGGTTTACACGTAGGTACCAAGAAATAAGAAGATCAGAATTAAGAGTTGCAAGGACAGTATCCCTACTAGAAGATCAGATCAAAAGTAATTGACAAAGTACGTATTTTGTTGTATATAGTGTGTTGGCATGTAAACAATTTGTAAATTACGAATGCTCTGATCGATTTTGTATTATTTTGGTCAAACTTGTGTAAGTTAAAAACTTTTGTTTTAATGAAAGTTTAAAATTTCCATGATTTTCTTTAAGAGTCAAAGTTTGAAAAGTCTACGTGACATCTCGAATTCGTATCCGGGTAGGGTACGGGTTGGAGGTGTTACAAAAACACTCTCAAAATCGACGAAAATTTATTTAAAAAATTCGATGTATTAATACTCTGATCAATTTCAATGACCGTTTGATGATGATAGTTTTGAGGTATTTGTTCGTATTTTCAAAATAATGCTCCTCATTGTTCAAATTTTTGAATAAACAACCCAAATCTCACAAATCTAAGAAAGTCTCCAAACTTCTAAAAAAGATAGATTTTGTGTTTAATTTCATCGATTTTGAGTGGATTTCGTAGAAAATTAATCATATGAGAAGAATGAGGAGCGAAATACTAAATTTTGGTATTATTTTTCTACGAAAGATTATCGATAACGAGCGGTGTTTGACTACCGACGATGTTTTAGTGTTGCATGTCACGTCAACAATCATTAGTCATATCATTGTCATATTAGCGACTTAACGATAGAGTGACATAATTAAATGTAAAACTAAAATTTAGTTTTATAATTGACAAAATTTAACGGTATCTAAAGTAGTTTTCTCTTAAATATTTAATGACATTGACATAGATTTATTATTACTATTATTTTTTTATTTTTCATGTTAATTTTCTTTCCTAATTAAGATTGATATGTTAATTTTTATTAATTTTATTTGGACCAATTAGATGATGAAATTTTTCGGCACCTAATCGGTCAAAATAAAATAAAGTAAATTTGTGCATTTGTTATGAAGAGAGTTAAACCACGTACCCTTTGAATGAGTATCCTACACCTATTACTGAGTTGGACTTGAAATTTGTTACGAGGAAAAACAAGTGTAAAGCCGGGACAAAGAGATTTCAAACCCAATACCCCTTGCATAAGAGGTCATGCACTTAGCCACTAAATTAAGCTAAAAATCTGTTAGAATTTCATCAAAATTAATATTTAAGTGAATTTTATCGACACTTTAAGATTATATTAAAAAGGTACTAGGAATTTAAGACTAAATAATATTTTTGTTTGAATTTTGATTAAAATTAAATATTAAATTAGAATTATTTTTCCATTTTGTTTGGAAACAAAAATGATTAATTAAATAATTATTTATTTGTTTTTATAAAATTCATATTAAATTAATTTAAAAAATTAAATTTGTAATATTTATTTAGAATATAATATTACTTTTAAATTATTTGAAAATAATCATTAATATTTAAATTTTTAAATAAAATTTAATTGATTTAAAAACAATTTGATTCACTAAAAATTAAATATTTTTAGTGAATCTAGTTTAAATCTACTTCTAGCGAACCAAATTTAAATCTAATTTTTTAGTGAATCAAAATATTAGATTTAAATTACATATAATTTTATAATATTGATAAATTTTGTTTAAATGTTAATTTTGATTTAATTTAATAAATGTTAGCTTAGTTTAGTTGATAAGTGCAAAACTCTTTGAAAAAATATTAAAATAAAATTTTAATTATATTTAAAAAATCAAATGATTAATTTTAATGTTACCACATAATCTTTTAACAATAATTAATATTATGATACACATTTTATAATAGAATTTATTGTTTAATGATTATCTTGTAATTTTTAAAAGTATAATGTTGATTTTTTAATAGTTTAGAGTGATTACAATGTAATATTTGTTTAGAATTTTTCATAATCATTGACAATGTACAC